AACGTTATTGCCCCCCCCACCCAGCCCCCCCCGCAACATGCATGCGCGTGCCGAGGAACGTTATTGCCCCCCCCCACCCCAAACCCCCTAAGCAAAAAAAGTCACTAAAAAAAGACGAAAAAATGCGTTTCGTGGAGTCGAAATGCTCAAAATCTATAAAAACTGTACTCCCGCTGTGCAAAAACTGTGTTTCGTCAAGCCGCCTTCTACGCCCGCCCAGCCAACTACTTATAATTATGCATAATCAATTATAGTCATATATAATTACACATAATTAATAACTATATATACGAATATAATCGAATATATAATAAATACATTGTATATATATATATACATACATTTATATATAGACATATATTTACATTTAAAAAAAATAAATAAAAAAAAATAAATAATAATCATCATCATCATAATGTTCTCCACCCCTGGATCCTCACCTGGAAGATCACGAGTTGCTTCACCAAGGCACTTCTCCCAGTCATAGACAAAGGCCAGGTGCTGCCACTCGCCTTCCCGGCTCCCTTCGGTCACAGCAGTCTCGCAGCTCTTACCACCTGGGCTGCAAGATGTATCGGCCATTGGGATACCCTCTCGTCATCACCCACATAACTATGGAAAATTTTAATGTTCAATAGGAAAACCACCATGTTCAACAAGAAAACCCCCACGTTCAATAGGAAAAAACACAATTTTCATTTTAAACATTACCATTTTCAAATGGGCGCGGAATTAAGTTGGCAATTTATTTTTTTTGCATTTTTTTTTTTGGTTCGGGGTTGGGTTCCTTGTTTTTTCATTGTTTTTTCCAGAAGTTTTCATCAATTTTCCAATTGTTCGCTAGTTTTCCAGCGTTTTTCCTCCATTTTCCATAGTTCTCTATGAATTTCTAGCACGTTCCATCAGTTTTCCATAGTTTTCAAAAATCTTCTAGCGTTTCCCTCAGTTTTTTGATGTTTTTTTCTTGTTTTTCTTCGCTTTTGCATTGTTTTTTCTATGTTTTTCTATATTTGTCGTTGCTTTTCTAGCGTTGTTCATCGAATTTTCCAACCTACTCATTAGTTTTCCCTCTTTTGCATGATTTTAGACTTGGTGTTGTTGTTGCTTGTTCTTTGTTACTGTTGTTACTGTTGTTCTTGTTGTTCTTGTTGTTCTTCTTGTTCTTCGTGTTCTTCTTCTTGTTGTTGTTGTTGTTCTTGTTGTTCTTGTTGTTCTTGTTGTTCTTCGTGTTCTTCTTCTTCTTCTGTTTCTTCTTCTTCTTCTTGTTGTTGTTGTTGTTGTTCTTGTTGTTCTTCGTGTTCTTCGTGTTCTTCGTGTTCTTCTTCTTCTTCTTCTTCTTCTTCTTGTTCTTCTTGTTCTTCTTGTTCTTCTTGTTCTTCTTGTTGTTCTTGTTCTTGTTCTTGTTCTTGTTCTTGTTCTTGTTGTTCTTGTTGTTATAGTTTTGTTGTTGTTGTTGTTGTCGTTGTTGTTGTTCTTCTGCTTCTTCTTCTTGTTTTTCTTGTTGTTGTTGTTGTTGTTGTTGTGGTCGTCGTCGTCGTCGTTGTTGTTGTTGTTCCTGTTCTTGTTCTTGTTCTTGTTGTTGTTGTTGTTGTTGTTGTTGTTCTTGTTGTTGTTGTTGTTATTGTTGTTATTGTTGTTCTTGTTGTTGTGGTGGTGGTGGTCGTGGCTGTGATTGTTGTGGTTGTGGTTGTGGTTGTGGTTGTGGTTGTGGTTGTGGTTGTCGTCGTCGTCGTTGTCGTCGTCGTCGACGACGACTTCCTAGCAAGGGGAGGGTCGGAATTATTAATAAAAAAAAACGGGTGGGGGGCGCGGGAGGAGGGCTCTTTTCAATAATTGTTCAGTATATGGGTCTTGTTACTTTGTTCTTGTTGTTCTTCTTGTTGTTGTTGTTGTTGTCGTGGTTGTGGTTGTGGTTGTGGTTGTGGTTGTTGTTGTTGTTGTTGCTGTTGTTGTTCTATTTCTATCGCAGTTATTCCTCTGTCTATCGATCTATCTATCTTTTAATAATTGTTGCGGTGATGGCGGTTGTGGTGCTGGTTGTGGTTGTGGTTGTGCTTGTGATGGTGGTTGTGGTTCTTGTGGTTGTGGTGGTGGTGGTCGTCGTCGTCGACTTCCCAGCAAGGGGAGGGTCAGATTAATTTTCAAAAAAGCGGGTGGGGGGCGCGGGGGGAGGGCAATGCGTCCTATGCGACTTGCACCCGGTGGAAAAATGAAGGCAACAATGCAAAAAATATGTTTCATTTAGGGTTTCTCTAGGGTTTCATTTAGGGTTTCTTTTACGGTGTCTTTGGCGTTTCATTTAGGGGGTTCATTTAAGGTTTCTGTAGGGTTTCTTTAGGATGTCATTTAGGGTTTCTTTAGGTTTTCATTTGTAGTTTCTTTAGGGTTCGTTTAGGGTGTCATTTACGGTCTCTTTAGGGTTTCACACACATCAACTCACATAGATATAGTAGGAGGCCAGATTCAACAAGTGTCCTGAGATACTTTTTTCAGACATAAAAAAAGAGCTCGTTAGGATACTTGATGTTGAAAAAGGTTGCAGTTTCTCTCCGATACGCATGCATATATACTCAAAGGTACACAGGGAAACTTCTGACTGCCATGCAACCATTGTGAAACACAATTCAAGCAAATATAGTTGGAGAACAACAGTTCAACAAGTGTCTTGAAATAGGGTCTTAAGAACTCTAGGAACAGCAAGTAGTTGGGACACTTGTTGAAAACAGGTCTCAATTCCTCTCACAACAGCATGCATATAAGCTCATATTACGACTGTAGTTTCTGTGCGGTTTAAATGCAATTTATATGCAGTGTATTTTATGAAATTATGAATTGTTATATGCAAACTACAATACTACACATACATTCAACGGAAACGCGGCCAAAAGCCATAAGCCAAGTGAAACCAAAGCCCAAAAAAAAACAACAAAACCCAAAAACCAAAAGCCAAGAGTCAAGTGAAGCCAAAGCCAAAAACCAAAAGCCAAAAGCCAAATGGGCATGCAAATTGGCTCCAAACTGCAGCAAATAGCACGCAAATCAGAAATTTTGGCTCCAAAATGCAGCAAATACAAGCCAGAAGCCAGAAACCGAAGGAGCCAGAAGCCAAAAGCCAAAAGCCAAATGGGCATGCAAATTGGCTCCAAACTGCAGCAAATAGCACGCAAATCAGAGATCTTGGCTCTAAAATGCAGCAAATACAAGCCAGAAGCCAGAAACCGAAGGAGCCAGAAGCCAGAAGCCAAAAGCCAAAAGCCAGAAGCCAAAAGCCAGAAGCCAGAAGCCAAAAAAAAAAAGCAAAAAAAAAATGCCAAAAAAAATACCCCTCCTTTTCACATATTTTCCATAGGTAAATCATGGAACTAAATGGGCCATGGCGGCCATGGCTTTCCCTTATCGGGTCATGGCCTGGAGACCATCCCTTGAAATATCCATGCTACACATGGATATAACACATAGCTTTGCGGCAACCAAGCAGCTGAATGAAAAGGAAAAGGTCAAGTCCTGACATCGGAAGGGCAGGACTCACCTCCCACAAAATCAGAAAAAATCCAGAAATAGGATACAAAACATTCCATGGGTTTATCATCTGGCCCAAAAAAAACAGCCAGAACATCATGGAAAGATTGGGTATCTGCAGTATCCCAAATCACTCGGCTGCCCAGGTGCCCCAATCAGGGCAAAAAAAAAACTGCCGTGGCGCACCGACTTGCTGACCACTCGCAAGTCCACTGAGGGGATTGAGGTGTCCTGCATCGGGCGTCCAAGAACCATCTGGCCATCTGGTTTGGTGATCGTCTGAATCCTACCCCCGAAAAAAGAGGACATCTACCCGAGTCTTGAGACTTGTGTGAAATCTGGGCTTAAACTGGAATTCGTCAAGAAGTTTTGGACAGCTTGCCTTGGGTTCTTGGAAAACTCATCCATTTCGACCTGTTACAACAAGCTTTTTTCCTCGGGGAACCTCACACAGCAATGGAATGAATGATCTTCCGAGTGAATCTTGGGATTTTCCAGAGCTAATGCAACTTATGAGAGGATGTTCCTCCCTTCATTGAAGATTAGATGGTCCCGACAAAGCGAGCAGTGAACGGAGGCTTTTGCTTCGTTGAAATATCATAGGTCCAATAATGCGGATGAAGGTGCCGAAAAATAACCACTCCGGAGTTTGACAACAGTCCCCAAAAATTCCCAAATATCATATCTATTTGACATTTCCAGCTCTGAATGAAAGCACCGCAGCCGCTACCGCCCAGTCATGACCAGAGCTGAAGAGAGTCCTCAGTGTGATCAGCACTGTTTGCCTTCTGATCCAACACAGATATGTTGAAGACTTTGAAGAATTTCCCAGAGTAGTGTAAGTGTAATACTATCTGACCATAAAAAGGGCCTTGTCCCAAAATGGGGGATACCCATGGGGCCCATGTTCAGTTATGTTCATGGGAAAACTGATATTTTGCAACCATAATTAATTAGATTTCCAGATTTTCCAGTGAAGTTTCCTCAAGTTTTAGACAAACCCACCTCACTTTAAGGGCACTTTGTCTGCAAGCTTCAGTGGACCACCGCCACTGTCTCGACGGACTGTGGCAGTCAAAGAAAATGAGGTCTCCTGTGGGGGTTCCGCTGGGATCAGCGTCACGATGACCACGATGATCAACCTCCAAATGGATGGTTAAATGATGGTTAAGTCGGTTAAGTCGGTTAAGTCGGTTAAGTCGGTTAAGTCGGTTAAGTATTGAAAATATACTAAATTGAATTCATTGAATCTAAACATCGTCAATCAAATGGATGAGTGAAACTTGACATCCCATGTGAAAAATCCGTTAAACCTGCCAAGCTCCCTGCCGCAAGAAAACCTGCCCTGGATGGGTCCTGCAGCATGGTCTTCGCATTGCCAACTTCCAGTGCCATGCTGCTGAACTCGCCCTTCTTCCTCCAGATGGGCCTGCCAGGGAGCTGAAAGTGAAGCAGCTCCAGATGTGGCTTCGTCTGAAAATGAGAAAACCACCAGTTATGGCCCAGTTATGGCCATTTTGAAAGGGAAAGAAAGACTAACCATCAAATTCTGGGGCACCTACATATTTTTTTTCAGACAAACCCACGTATCTGATCGTATCTGATGGGTTTTAATATGATTTGGGGAACTTGTCATCGTTGCTCGTCTCTATCACAATCTCCAGATTGAAAGAATGAACCTGTCAACGGGAATCTTGCTGCAAGATCTCGACAGCTTGTTAGCCAGCCTTGCAACCGTACATAAGAGAATGCTGTCCCGGTTGGTTTCAGGCGTCCAGTCATCGGCATAGCCAGGAGTGATGGTGTAGTACCCTCCATAGGGTCCGCCATCACATCGCCAGGAACCCACCAGGCCCAAGCAATGACCTGTGCCCATCGCTGCGAGAAACTCTCCCGTTTTGGGGGTATCGGGGTATCCAATTTTTCATGATTTTTCATGTCACGTCTGCGCAGGAACATGACAATTTCTCCAGTGTTTAGAATTCAACAGGCCAACAGTCTGAACGTCAGTCTGCTATTAACTACTGGCAGTCATAGATGTATACAGACTTCACTCAACTCCAATCAGGTATTCTTCAGCTGCCGCTCGCCCACCATGAGTTGTCATGGCCTTTGCAAATGCAAGGAATCTCTGCTCCCAGGTAGGTTTTGACCTCAGATAAACAACAGTGCCCTGGCCCAGGGGTTCGATCACCAACTGAGCTGACTCTCACTGCATCCAACTGGCTGTGGCCGTGCCATCTGCGTTGCGGAAGATGACGTTGTGTTTGTTGGGGCCGACCTTGAAACGAGGGTTGCTGGCAAGATGTAGCCAATGCTGCCCACTGTCGTGTGGATGTAACTTCCACCACAAAACATATTATGTTCCTAAAATCTAATCTGCAGAAGAATTTTCTGTTCAATGGCTTCCTCATCCTCGTAAATACATACAGTATTATTATTACTATTATTATCATTAATATACAGTAATCATTGTGATTATTATCATTATCATTATTATCATTATTATCATTATTATTATTCATTATTAATCATTATTATTATTACACGTTATCATATATTATATATACACACTATATGTATGATATTGTAGATCTACACACTATATGTATAATATTATAGATATACACACTATATGTATAATATTATGTGTATATATATACTATGTATAACATTATATGTATATTATATATATTACAATATATTGTAATACAATATAATATAATATATTATATAATATAATAATATAATAATATAATATAATATAATATAATATAACATAATATAATATAATATAATATAGTATAATATAATATGATATAATGATATAATATAATATAATACAATGTAATATAATATGATATATAATGTAATATAATATAATATAATACAATATAATGTCATATAATATGATATGATATATAATATAATATAATATAATATAAGAATATAATAATATATTAATATAGTAATAATAATATAATAATATAATAATATAATAATATAATAATATAATAATATAATAATATAATAATATAATAATATAATAATATAATGATATAATAATATAATGATATAATAATACAATAATATAATAATATAATATAATATAATATATAATATAATATCATATAATATATAATAATATATAATATTATATTATATTATATTATGTATATAACAATATAAAATGTAATATAATATAGTATAATAAAATAAAATATAATATAATGTAATATAATTTAATATAATATATTATAATATAATATAACATAGTATAATAAAATATAATATAATATGATATAATATAATAAAATACAATATAATAATATACATATATGTTATAGATTATTATAATGTTTATATATCATATAAGATAATGGCCTTGCCAATTCTTCCTTCTCCAGTTCTTTGCTGTCGGGATACAGCAGCAAACATGTACACATCCCTCGCACGCAATACCTTTATTACGCCTTTTTGGAGGCAATCAGCACGCGATGACCGGTTTCTCTCTGCGCTCAATTCTTGAACTTCCCCAGCAAAGTAAAACAAACACTGAACATGTCTAGTCTGCCGCCTCTGCTTATCACATCTTTTCCTGGGTCACTCTTCCGAAGCAAGGAGGCTCTATCATTGCATGTCCTATCCAAAATTCAAGGATTCTATATCTTCCTATTTGTCCACAACAGCCATCCTCTTGACCCACCCATCCCATTTGATAATCTCCAAGCCACAAACAAAGACACGCAAGGTGCACTATCGCACCTGGCTTGAGGCAGTTCTCAGAGGTGACCGTTTTTGGGGGATACCGAAAGAGTGCACCTACCAGTGAAACCACGCCTTAACAGGGAATCTCTCTCTCTCTCTCTATAGATAGATATCAAATATATATATATTATAATAAAATATATATATATATATTATAATATTGGACTGTATTGGACTGACAAATATTGTCCGGGCTTCAACGTAGACATCTACCCTGCCTGCCTAATCATCGAATTTTCTATCCAGTTTAATGACCTTGCTGTGAACTGGACTACTGCATCCCAATTCACCATTTGAACATGCCATCCACCAACCCCCCGCCCACCAACCCTGCCACCAAGAAACTGTGCAGCTTGCTCTGGTTGACAAACCTTGGCTTTGGCTCTGAGGTAATTCTGCACCTCCACCATCTCAGTACCTGAGCACAGCTCGGTGAATGAGGATCCCCATCATCCACTGCAAGAAATTCCCATAATTGTATATATAATTGTCTAATTCTTGTAGTTGTTGTCTCATATCCTCACTTTTACTGCCTATCCGCTCTATCCCCCATGATTTGGGGCCTATTCTATAGCTACCCCTGCCAAGGTATTGCCAAGCGTCGGGTCAGGACACGATCCCAGGTGATGACTTCGGCAAGGGCCCAGTCGGAATGCTCCTTTCTGGGTCCATCGTTGATTCCAACCAAACTATGTCCACCAACTCCCACAAAGTTGGCAGCCCGCTGCACACCTGGGACATCTGCGAATGGGATGGGCTGGTATCAAGGGTCATCCAGCAAGGCCATGTATGAACTTTGCTCAGATTCAGGTATGGAATTGAATTAATTGTTTTCATCCTGAAACGTCATTCGCTAGAAAAATCCTTCGGCCACACTTTCGCGAAGTTCATGTTTAACTCTAGCAAGCATGCCTCAATCCACATTCTTATCATTCTTACTATCTTACTGGGACGCATTCAATCTGCCTGGAAATCGACTCTACAGTGGCATGAAAGACACTTGAATTTTCTCAACTGCTTTCAGGACACTTTCGGGAAACTGTTGGGAAACTTTCGGCGTTGTGTCAAAATCATTGAAAATTGATGAAAATTGCACCCTGGATCCCACTTAGAGGTGTAGTTGCAGATAACTACAGAATTTTATAGTCTCCACAACCATTCCACCCAGTCTCCGTAAGCTTCCCACAACACCAACCTGCCAGCAATTCTACACTAGACTGATGAACCATCAAAAAAACTTTCGCCATTTCCTTAGCCGAAAAAGAAGGCTTTAGCCAACTTAGAAACACAACTCTAGGGGCGTATGATGTTCAAACAACAATGAACCATCCTGATGTACAATCCCAGAAAGTAAACCTCAAGCTGATTCATCCTCTAATTCATCCTGATACCCGGAAGAGTAACAAGATGTAATGCTCGTTTTTCCAGGGTTCCCATGTTATTCAAGAGGTGACACAGCGCTGGGAAACCGGGCCATCCAAGAAGACGTAATCCTGCTGATTGGAGGCGCAAAGAGCCTCGGACTCAGACTTGGACGATGGAAATGTGATGGAATATAATTCATTGGCCAAAGCAAATCCCACCATTCCCTACCATCCTCACCCTGGTCGATAAGGATTCGCACAGAAAACCATCAACCAACCGAAAAGGTACCACACAAACCTAGAGCCAGCTGCTGCCAAAGCTGGTTCAGCCAGGAGGCTATCCAACTCCGAGTTCCATTCAGAGTTTCTTCGTTCCTGACCCACTTCCCTCCATAGAAGACGCTGCCCGCCATGCCGTTGGCATGGCCGTGCCACCACTCCCTGGGCGTGGCTAGTGCTGGAGAAAGCAGAATGAGATCTGAAAAATTGGGCAGGTCATTCTAGATGATGTTTCCTTCATATTTTTCAGGTGTCCAACGTTTCTATCTTTTTGGGGGTTGCTATACATGAGACTTGGCAACTGATCAATTGCGTGTATCCGACGTATTGTTTCCCCATTTGCAGCATTTGCAGTTTGCAAATATCTGCTGACCTCAGCGACAGGACCTAAGAAAAATTGTTTCGCCAACAAACATGTTCTCTTGGGGTGCATCTGCATCAGTCTCGAACCAATTCAACTCAAGTACCGTATGCCTGCAATTTGTCGACCCAGATCTCAGACTTGGAACCCCCAAATCCATCGTTTCAGCCCCAGCGGCTCTGCCCGGAGGATTTTTCCCTGTGCAATGCCCGTGTAGGCGCTCAGGGAGCAAATCCTGAAGGAAACACTGATGGTCAAACATGACAATCTGACCATATCTGGCCCACTTCCCCTAATTTTCCATATGATTTTCAAGGTGAGAAGCACACAAATAGTCTGCAAAAAAGGTCAAAAAAAAGGTAGATATCTAGCCTCACTCATTGAATCCAGAGATTAGCACCGTAAGACATCCCAGAACATCTACTCAATGTTCGCCAACCCATCAACTAATTACCCCAAAAAGATCTCCCAATTTCACATGCTGAGAGACGTGTAGGTGCTGGGGAGGATGTCGCCAAAGCCGAAGCTGGCTTGGCCTCGCGAGCTTAGAAGATCCCAAAAACTTAAGGCAGTCATCGCCTTCTCCTCTGTTTTGCTGGGTGTATGGATACTTGAGGAATCCAGCCTACATTGTCCACTGGTTCTGGGCAGACATAATCCACTCTGAACCACCATGACAAGAATCCCAGTGCCGCAACATGAACCCCGCAGGCCCATCAAGTGCTTCAAAGTGGCTGTCGCCATAGATGTGTTTCATCTCAGCCCCATAGTGCCGCATGCCCGAGCGCACAAGCCCGTTGTTCACTTCCGCCTTGCAGCACTCTGCTCTCGTCAGTCATGTTTCGAAGCTGTGCGGTTCACCTGCCCTGACTCCGCCCAGGTTTTCCGGCACCTTGAAGGATCCCACAGAGCTCTTCCAAGTTGGACCTGCGTCCTCGCTCCTGCAGCACTTCGCTGCAATTATCCAATTCCAAAAGCAGTTCTTTCAGTAGCTATGAACAAAAAAAGTGACAAGTGATAATGGTATTAAGGTACCCTCCGCTAATCTAGTATGGCAATGGAAAAATCCTCCATGTCTATCCATCTGCTTGATGGTTATCCCATCCGTGATTATATATATATATATATACACACATTATGTCATAATTATGTAATATCCATGTGTATATACATGATATTATTAATTATGTAATTAATATGTATGTTATTGTTTATATATAATATATCAAATAAACTGATCAAGAAATATGATCATTGTGGATCAAGATGGTATTACGATTATCACTGACGTCTGATCACCCAAATTCTCCTGAACCAGGCTGTTAGGCCCTCAGCCGCCACGGTACCCGAGGGCAGTACCGCGTCTCTGACCTCCTCCGTTTCTTCCTCCGCCTTTCACTGTGAAACTCGCCACATCATGGGTAAACTGTGGGGAAAAGCTGCTGCCTTTCTAGACATGTTCGAGAAAAAGCTGGCAAGTGTCAACAATCTCAATAGTGATAGTCTTAAGATGACCCCAAGATGTCTTAAGGCTGAAACAATCCACAAGAATGATGGAGACGTGAGAAGTCTGAAGGTTTTCGCAACTTCCCATTTGTTGATCCGCTGTATCTCTTGTTCTTGTTTTTTTTTGATCCTGATTTACGCATGTCGATGATATTGACTCGTTTCTTGAACAAGGAGTGATTGCCAGGGTAGTTTCTACATGTTTCTACTTCATGGTGATATCTCAAGACCCTGATGTTCAGGTCGCGGGATCGCAGGATAATTTCTCCCATAATCCGTTCAAAATAAATAGATCCAATACTAAACCGGGGTTCTAGGGGGGGGTATTTGATCTTGCGGGGGCAGAGATTACATATATATATATGTAATTATATGTACATATACAAACATACACATACAACCACATATTATGCGCAGAAACAGCCCTTGAAGACCTGTAGATATCAAGAGGGGGGACTGCTGTCCGTGAATCAAAGGCCACCTCTGCTTGGAGCTCTTCCACCTCCATCTCTTCATCCTCAAAGAGCTCAAAGGTCACGGCCTCCGTTTAAACGCCGAGTTGGCAACTGATCGAACTGATGGCCTCCGAACGACTGTTTTTGGTTGATGTTGGTTGAATTCCCATTGTTTGGTGCTGAAGTGCCCACAACTTGGCGAGTCACGGCCTTGCCAGTCACGTTGTTGCCAGTCACGTTGGCTTCACAGCCAGTCACTGGGATGTAGTTGGCCTGCCCTGTCCGTGCCTGGCTGCGGGTCACGACTTCACACTTCACATCTGCAAACCTAGCAATGGACCCACAAACATGGTAAGGTTTTGTCTTGAAAAGTATCAAGTATCAACTATGAATCAAATATATTTGAATACCAGCGAATGTGTTCGGTCTATAACCGTCAGTCATAGCGCCATACCGACTTTGACGAAGAAACAATCTTCAACCCCACCCTTCCCAGCCTTCCCTTCAGAGCTGCAACTGCCTGGAAAGCCGGAGCCTGGCGTGGGATCGTTGTGGGACATAGAATCAAAAATATGGCCATGTGAATCCGGAATGTCTACAGATTTTGCAGTGGATGAATGGGGTTCTTTATTTTGGATAAACCCATTTTGTGCAAAGTGAAAAATACATATTTTGAAGAAAAGAAAGCATACCAGGACTATGAATTATTCGAAGCCTTTCTCCTGTACATGCCAGGCTCAACGTTTTAGTGTCAAGGATGCTCGCAATCAACCCTGACAAAGTTAGAGTGATCGGAGTTGAACATCCAGAAGACCGTGCTCCATCCGTGGCGTACCATCAAAGCCACAGAAGTCCCAGGGATTGTTGTCTGCCAGTGCATCCTGCGGGGTCACTCCCGCCGTTGCACAGCTGCACAGCCGATGCAAAGAGAAAAAGTGAATGAATTCACATGTAAGAAAACACACAAAGTGAGAAACAACACACGTGCAACATCCGTGAGGCTGATCACTCCCCTTCTGAACTCCTGAAGATCGCTGTAGAGCTTGAAATCCACCAAGAAGATGTTGTCGGCAGCGGACTGAGCATCGCAAAACAAAGACTCCATTTGCGGTCCGTGGCTGACCAGGGACTTGGGACAACAGCCACAATGTCCGTGCTATTCCCAGCAGGAGCGGATTTATTGCAAAAATGAATGAAGTCGAAAACAGCGGCCCCGAAAGCAAACCCTGGTGTGGTTTGCCTGCCAGTCGCACGCAAGGGACTTGAAGGGCTCGTAGGTGTCGGTGCTGGTGAGGCGACGATAGAAGATGTGCCTTTGACATTCCACTTTGCATCACTTCGCCCAGGGACAGTTGGAGTTGGCACACCAAACAGCTGTTGCAAAATCACCAAATGCTGCGAAAACAAACATTGCAGCAAATGGAAAACCCACACATTGTGGCCCAAACTTCACACTCGAACGTTGCTTTGTGAGCACTTGCAGCGAGAAGTATAGAAAATAACATGTCAGTTCAAAGCAAATACACGTGACCAAATGGGTGGGCGATGAGTACATGTATGTAGCTTTTGGGCTTGAAAGGAGATTTCAAGGGCTACAGCTGCCATAATCAGGATTCCAAGCACCCGTCCCTCAGATGCGCCTGTGGCTCTTCCTACAACTCTGGCACGTCCGCAAGATGATATGATACCTGCAACACTAAGCAATGTGTGAATTCTCTGAAGTGTTGGCATCCATATCTGCGACAAGTATGGGCCACAGGTGGCCAGTCCAAACCTTAACTAACAGGCACCAGAGTCAGATGCCACTGAAAATCACAGTGAATATGCTGGCTTTGCCTGGAGCCTCTGAGGCATTGTGGATTCAAACTTTGTCCCAAACAGCTCAGCAGTTCCACACTCCAACTTTCCGAGGTAAGCTGAATCATGAAGTATACCCCTTATCCCATCCCATCCCTACTGGTTGGTAAATAGTTATTATCATGGTTTACACTTAACCTATCCCCAACAAACCAGCTACTACAACCCCCTAGTTCATAACCAACAACCTTCATTGGTCAGTGTGCTCAATCACCATAAAACTACAAGCACCATAAAAACCACCATAGAATCACCATAAAAAAAATATCGTTTCCCCACCTGCTCTGCTGGAAGCGTCGATTGAACTCGACCTCGCCCAGGCTGGTGATCTTTCCATCTTGATCCACTGAGAGGCCGAGCCTCGCGTGGCGAAGCTGGCCACTGAAATTCTCAGCTGAGGAATGTAAATAAGTACTGTAAATAATGATATTATCAATGATATTGTAGAATCATGGGAATGATAATTGTAGATAGCAATAAGTATGTGTTTTTTCACAAATAACTATGATAATTGTAGAACTATATACTAATGATGTTATAAACAAGTGTGTTCAGCATGGTGAAAGTAACTACAAATCACAAATTATAGTAGTGATACTGGTCCAACTAATTTCCAAGCAAAACGGAATGATATGGAACGCATCCTGTTGAGAAGTTATTGATGGAATCTACTATGGCTCTTGGTGCTGGGTCCCACTCCACAAGATGAAGAGCCCTTCACACATATCATCTATCAGCTGCTGCCTGAACTTCTGTGGAACAATGGGCAAGAAATTGTAGAAGCTCGCCGCACGACCACCTTAGCAAGACAGCACATGCAGCCAATGGAGTACCTTTCGAAAGTGAACTGTGAACTGAGCCGACTCGGGAGATCTCTCCGAGGTGTTTGGGCTTGCTTTCGTGCAGGCTGAGTTGAGAGAGAATACAACCCATGTATCTGTGTACAGTATGGTATGGAGTCAATTTTTGGGACCCTGCTCCCTTAAACACCCTGCAAATCACAGCCATGGCACCCACATCAGTGGTGCACTTGCCGTCAGAACTGCCTGATGCAACCCAGTTGGTTGAGAGTCCAATCTGAGCACCGCCCACATTGGATGCTTTGATTACTCCCCAATAATCCTAGATTCTGCGGCAGGCATCCCAGATCTGAAACCTGGCCAAACAGCCAACTCCTACCCCATCACCCCATTCTGCGTCATCGGATTCAGCCTGCATCTACTCCCGCATTCACTGGAATGCTGTTCCACTGCTCGCTTACCAAGCTGGTAGGGCCACATTCACCGGGGAAGCCCCTGGACGGCAGGAAGCAGGGATTGAAATGGAAGCAGGGAGCATCTTCAAAGGACTGCCGCTAGAAATCCGGGAAGAATCTTCTCAACACTCTGTGGAGTGTTCCTGATACATCCTGATTCCTCAAACCCATCGTCACCTCCGGCGAAAAAGCTTGGGACTTTGGGGGCAACAAGGCACCTTGAGCTGTTGTAGCTACAAACGGACCACTTCTTTGTATCCTGACGCCACAAATCTCCGCAGGGCCTTTTGGGGTTTCCCATTGGCTGCAGAGCAGCATATTTGCCGGTGGTTCCAACTATTTCCAACTCCAAAACCGCAGCTGTTGCAAATTTGACACTGGGGTTGCTCCGACTCACCACTCGACTCCCCAGCGACTCCCCAGGACCCCCCCGTCCCCGAAGGCATCGTTTAGATTGCTGAAGAGCTTGAAGGTCTTTGCCCTCCACATTCTTCGTATCTTCACCCCAAGAGCATGCCATCCTCAGCATTTGCTGATAGGCCTCTCTGTCTCGTTTGTTATCCCACAAAGATCTGCCTTCTGGAAAAGAAACACAAAGGGTTGACCACCAAAATCCATTCACAAACAGTCCGAGTGCACTTCTCTGCGATACTGATAGTCCGATAGTACAAACTCCGGTGGGGTGGGATTGTCTCAATGTATGATGTAACCACCCTCAAATCTACCTGCCTGGGACACGCCCCAACTGAGATTGATGCAGCGAAAAGTTATTTGTGTTTAAATCATATTGTTAAATCTTACTATAAACTAAAAATCAATCTAAATCATAATAATTCCATATAATTCCAGTCGCTTCAACATCACCTTCCACCATTGCTTCACAACAACAATCAGCAGCCGGCAAGAAATGGTTGTGCAGCCAAGAAGCGACTCATATGGAGAGAAACCACTCAGGGCTGTGTAGCGGCGATAAACGATTTCCTCGGTCATTGGAGGAAACCATAGGAAACCGCACGGTGGTGTTGAATTCAGTGGATCAAACCTAGGACCTAAGATCTTAACCTGGAATTTGACCAGGAAAGGGCTGTCGCCATTCCAAGCACCAAGCCCTGACCAGCCTATGACCTGCCAATTAGTCTGAGATTCTGTGTGAGTGGCTGCACAGGAGGGGCAAATTCTCTTCACCACCGGATATTTGTTGTAGGGCTCCACCAGGAGATCAAACTCCTCCAAAATATTCACGTCGGAATTGCAAAAAAAACAACTCACCATCTACCAATCTACCACCCCCTTTGACATTGTCCACACCTCCTTGGAGATGGTGGCCACATTATCAAGCTCGTTCTTTTCCAAGGTCTTCACAAACACAAAGCCGGGCTCCCAATGCAGCACATTGTCCAAGACCAGGCCCCCCACACCACGCATGTAGGCGGCATGGCAGGCAGTGGCTCCCAGCAGATTAAGGCGGGGTTCCTGGGGAGATTCTGGGGTTGACGATACTCTCAAAATCACAGAACAGTTGCTTACATGAGAAAAAATGGGAGAAAATCTTCTTGGAAGGAGCAACCAGCTATTTCTTTCCACGGAGGGACAGAACTAATAGGTGGGGATGCCACTCCACTGTGATCAAAGTTGATGACAAACCGAGGTGCTGTGGACACGTCCGGCTCTGTGGAGATATTCTTGAAGCCCACGGCCATGACATTCTGATTGCAGGCGATAAGATCCATTGCCTGTTCGACAAAGGGTCGCTACTCCTAAAGGCAATGATGAAATTGATTTCTGCATGATCTTCCAGTGATGTGTACAATCCACTCCCACTCTGTAGAGTTCAAGACCGCCTGCAGATTTCGATCCTTGAGTCTCAAGGAAAAAACGCCAAGGTTGCCATACCTGCAAGTCTTGAGGTCACTTTGAGCGTCGTTCTGGGATGCCAATTCTGATCTTTTTGTGGGGAAAATTCACACGTGGCCATTTTAAAGTTTAGGAACCCGAACCTTCACACGGGGAACTTCAAAGTAAACAACTTTAGCTCGCTGTTTGAAAAACACAAGATGGAACAGCTGGGATAACCTTAAACCCAAACTGCACAAACAGCAAAGAAACACTGACGAGCTGAAACTAAATTGAGCAGGTCCGGTCTATATGATGTATTGAAAGACCACATGTTTCATGTCCATTGGGGATTATCAGCACCTGCCACTTGATGAAACCGGGAACTATACCCAGCACATCTCCAATGGCAATGGAAAACTAAAACCTCTCCTTTTCGCTGAGGCGCAGCTTGTAGTTCTTGCCCTTGATCTTGCAGGTGGCATTCTTGTCACTGATGAGTTTGATCTCTGTAATGCCAAAGGGCATCTTGGTTTCCATCTGGAAAACCCCTGGCGGCATGAAGGTGATGGCGCTGCTTCCACCATCCTTGTCGTAGGAGACGCCACCCAAAAAGACCTGCGCATGCAGCGGATTCCCCGAGACTTCCACCGTTGGTCCCACGTGTTTTGCCATTTCCCCAACAGTTGGGGACTTTCCCCATGGCAAAAAGAGAAAGGCAATGGCTTAGCCACACCTGATCTTCTAAGGCGGTGAACTTGCAGGAGGGTTCAGCTTCAGGACCACCTAGCAGCCAAACGTGGCATTTTTATGCTGCTTGGTAGATAGGAAATCCATGGAAATCCCATGTTTGGGTGACAATGATCCAATGAACCAGGTAGATCATAACCCCCTATAATGATCAACTAACCATGATGTATCAAGAAAAACAATGGTTTCATTAATTCTTTATGTCATATAAGATTTTCTGGATCGTCTAGGTGTGCCAATATGCGCAAACGGTGTACGGACATGTATACACACATATCATAGGTAGATAGGTTTATATATTGCATACATACGTCATACTATATTATACATATTATATATAATACGCATGTTCATTCACTTAGAATCCATGATAAGGAAGAATGAAACGTGCACAGTGAATTCGGGTGAAACAGACATCACAACTACAACATTGACAACTCTACAACGATTCTACAACGTATAAGCATGTATAATCCACAACTACCAAGACAGAAGTGTAGTAACGACCCAATGATCAACATGCAGGGAAGTTGACCACAAAATGTCTCGCAGCTTTCCCATCCCTTTCCAAACCTTTGCTCCATTCGGAATCCGAGGTGCTGAAGGCCTTCTTGCAAATCTTTCGATGATCTGCTGTTTGCCAGGAATCCAACTCTTCAAATCCCCGCATTGAGATAGAGTTGAAACGCACCTTGCCAGTTTCCAAGTCCTTGAAGCAACTCGAGGGAGATCCTGGTGACAAAAATTTCCGCAGCTTTGAGTGAGCAAATTCAAGCAAAGACCTGTAGAAAATATTACAAACTGTCCAAGAAATTCAGTGGATCCGACCCCAGAGTTCATAGTCTTCCAAAGTAGTTGGCCTCCCCCCGCAACTTCAGCCAGCTCATGGGTTAACCCTCCCATTGCGCTGCTAGGCTCAGTCCTTGGTTGTTTGGATCATTCTTCTCCCATTTGCTGGGCGGAGGAAGGCCCTGCATTCCAGCTTTAGCAGCGTCTTCACAATCCTTCGCTGACTCGATAGCGCGATACTGGTCAGGACACACGTTGCTGCCTGGACATCGCCGAAAAGCGATTCTCAGGTGGTGTCACTTAGGGCCGTGGAACATTAGTAGCAGCGCTTATCTACAGAAGCAGGTCTTGTCAAGAACAGGAAATAGGATCCTTTCGTGCTCCAATCACTTTCTAGAGTAGTCGTCATTTCAATTTGTCTTCAATCCATCTTCGGACCCGGAGTTTGCACCTTTGGGTGCCAACTTGTAGACGTCATCTTCACCCTTGCAGAAGCAAATTCGGGTGGCATCTGCAGGGGCTTCCAAATGGCAATTCAAAGGAGTCTTCGCATTGGCAGGGCTGCAAATGATGCCCTCGTCACCCATTCGAAAAGTGCCAGCTTTAGTGCCGTTCTGTGGATCCTGGCACAATCAGATCCAAGGCAAAACTACTAATTTGGCCTCAGCCATGTCCAACTTCCAAATACTTCCAGTCCTCAACTGTTGAGCATGTCTCTTCCAGTGCAGTCATGGCTACCTGCATTGTCACAACATGAGTGAGGCAAAGCTTGGCTCGCCTGAGACGACTTTTGAACATTTTGGATCGTTTTGAATACGTTTGGATACTTTTATATAGATACATTTGATGAATTTTGGATACAAATCATACAGAGATTTCCACGAGTATTGAGCATTGTCTGCAAGCACGTATCGCCCAGTAGGAGCTGTCACGCTATGAATCTGAGCTGGAATGCCTGCTTGACCAACGCCTTGTTTTCTATGTTCTTGCAAGGCACAGTCAGCAGGAAACTGGCTGCGTTCGGCATGCTCATGAAGTAGACTGAGTTTGATAAAGGTTCGGAAAATTTGGGTCTTTCAAGTGTGTCTGTGTGTGTGGAATCCTGTTGCCAGCCTTCATCTTTCCAGATGAGCTCAAGAGCGAGCTGTCAGTTGAACAAACCAAATCAGCAGCTGCGCAAGTCGCATTGCAGGTCTTGTACACCTCCGTGCTTTTGTACCATCCTGGCGCCAAGCTTGGAAATCTTGGAACATGTTCAAGAATTCTTGGAGGTGTTCTCTTCCACCCTATTTGTCCCAGAATGGATGGGTCTTTCTTGGTGCTACTATCAGGCCGCTAGAAACACGACTACAACAAGGATTGGCACCATGGCCACGGATCAAACTTGCAAATGATAAAAATGAAGCCGCGTTGCTGCAATTTTGACTCATACTGATACCCATGTCGTGGTTTGAAACCGGGTTCGAATGCCAAGTGCAACCCCACGGGTTTTTGTGTAAAATCTTTCTACAGCACAACAGCCTTGGGATAACCCCAAAATTGTAATCGTACGACCAGCCGCACCGCTCCTGGCACTGCATCTGCCGCCAGAAGCGAACTGGATGACGTCCCACGGATGGCATTCTTGGTCCACACGAAGTGGCGTTACGAAAAACGAACAGCTGCTTCTGTGATTGGTTACATCACCAACTGAAATGTCATGATCCAGTCGAAAGCCCATCTATGCTTCTATGCCCTCCAAAAATGTAAATGTCGACTCTCGTAATTTGCGAAGGGCTTTTCAGCAAGAGCGTTTTGTATTTGGAATGTGCGCTTTTGTTCCCAATCAGATAGGAAAAACCCAACTTCCTAGAAACCCATTCATCGTGTATCACATCTGCTCCAAGAGCTTTGATTTGATCTCCTCAATCGCCCAAATTTCCAAACGCCGAGCATCGTGGCTCTTCCAATTCACCGTGCTGGCTTCGTAGATATTGGAGGTGCCATCAGAGCATTCCTGCTTGATGCTGGTTGCATTCCCCTTTAAGCTGGTCACATGCCAGTCTCCCGCGCAGGAGCCGTAGATGGTCTTTGCTGCAGGTGCCACTGGGCTGCTGAACTTCTGATCTTCTCCACTCATAAACCTTGAGCAAACAAAGCATACAAAGCAAATAAAGCACAATGGATACCTTCTGAAAATGACCACTGATCATCACTGATCTATCCAAAGCTCCGAAATGCGATCCCGTTTTCCAGTGAATCAACACCGAAATGTGCTGTGCAAATCAAGCGAAGAACATCAGAAAATTGCTGGTCCCCATGGCCAAAATCCGCGCAAATCGGAATTGGCCTCCACGGCTCGGCATCAAAAAAATGGTATAATATTATATATTATACATACTATATATATATATGATATATGATGTGTATACATATATATATTATATGATGTGTATATATATACATATATATATATATATGGTGTATATATATATATGGTGTATATATATATGATGTATGAATTCATCTTGCAATGATTATCCATGATTGCATTCTATGATATTGTATGGGATCATCTGCAGTGACACAATAGCAGTGGAGGCACTGGCATGTTGTATCAATGCAATGCTTTAACGTGTATCGAACAGCGCAAAATCTACTCTATGGTCTATGATCTTTTGCAGGTGGAATCGACATGATCAAATCTTCCCCTTAGCTACAAGTATGCATCTCCAATGGCCGAACCAAATACTGACAACAAGAGGCAAACTAAGTAGGCCGGCCATTAAATCTGCTCTCAAATGTACGGCCTGGCTTCAGGACTTGCAGGTTGCAAGCCCCTTAAACAAGTTCCAAGACAGCTTCCGTGTTGCACGCCTCGCACGTAGCCAGAGGTCCCATGGGCTAATTCCACATCCTTGAACTCAGTGCCGTTCACCCAAACACGTACCGTCAGGTTCCGATCAATCGCAAAGAAGGAGAGCGTCTGAGGGCCCTGGTGATTTCCCATCAGCACCTCAGTTGTAAAACTTCACCAAACATGGCTCTGTTTGAAGCGCTGCCTCTCTTCCTGTATACAGAATGAGCCATGTTTCCCCTTTGAAAGCTCACTTCTGCACAGTCCAAGTTGCAAAGGCCTTGCCCCGCAGCGAGGAATGAGCCCAGGGCGACAGCTCATCAGGTCCTTTTTCGCTCACAACTTGAAAGGAGTCGTCCAAAATCTTCACCGCGCCAAATGCCTCGCCTGATGCAGGGTAAGAACTTTTGTCCTTGGTGCCAGCGCCCCTGAAATCACTCAGGGATGCCAAAAGATGCCAGGGGGGATCAATTTGGGCATGGCCCAGCTTGAGGAAGTTTTGGTATGACAACTTGGATCAGTCCGCATTGCAGGTGTGGTGACCTCATGAATCATGCCATCTCAATCCATTTCCCAATTTCCCAGTAGGCTATCGAGGCTCCAAGGTCTTGAGCTCTCTCAATTTTGAAGCAGCTGACAAGATATGACAAGATACCCCCTGGCTGCCCCCAGGTATCCCCCCCAGTTTCACTAAAATCCTGCCAGCATTTTGCCCAGTGTCGCTGGGGTCTCCTCCATCAGCATTGTGTCTCCAGCCCTCAGGCGAAAGCTGCAGTTGCACTTGAACGCGACGTCCATTGCAGTTGCCATGCGGCGCAGTGATCTTGTAGTCCTTGCAAAGGGCCACGGCTGGAAATGGCCGTGGGTTCAACGGATTGTTCAATGGGCTGTTCAGTAGAGGGTCGTCCAACCCTGCGCAGTGCCGCACTTTGACCCTGTCAAGCCCATTTCCCGAAGCGTTGATCAACTTCAAACAGCATGTTTTCCTGCCCACCCCGCAGATCCCCCCCCTATCAGCATTGATGGCACCAGGTGCGGCTCCTCATTGACTCCCGCGGCAAGTTTGGACAGCAAATAGTTGGAGGCTTGCGTCATGTTTCCAGCATCCAGGACCTTGTTCCACACGATCACCTCCATAACAGCCCAGGAGGACACCTGGCATGCAGATCAATTTGGCAACCAAGTGCTTTCTCATTGTTGTGATAGTTTAAGTTGTTGTGGAAGAATATGGTCAGTTTTCAGTGTTGCTCTTTGTTGTTCTTGTGTTCTTTCACGCATGCGTACTATTTTTTGCGTATGTTCTATCAATTCGTTTGGCTTTCCCACCCTATGTATATATTAATATAATATACTATATATTATACTCTATACACATGCAACTCATATTATTAATATACGGAACAGTACTTGTGTCTGTGTGTCTACCTGTTTACCTGCTCACCTATCCAGGCCATACATGCAACCAGTGATATCGTTCTCCATCTGCTTTGCTCTTGCATCAGTACAGTTGATTCTTGTCCACATCAGAATCTTGCGAGTTCGTCTCTGCGACAGTAGAAACAATCAAATGTGCATAATGTGCCAGCAGGAAGCGTCACCAGCCAGCCTCCTTCCATTTGCTGCCATGGTTGATGACCAAGTTTTGCTTCACCTTGACATTTCCGCAATGTTTCTGGCTCACCTCCAAGCGAAGCAGTCGGATAAGCATGTCTTCATGATCTGGATCCCAAATTACGACATTTATAACGGTTATATAACGTGCATGGCAGGTCGATGATTTCATGGGACAAGCTTTAGGTACAGTGCATGATATGGTACTCCTGCAAGCCACCATCTCCCAAACTCGCTGTCAGCATTTCAGATGCGTGCACCTTCTCTCCATTGACTAAGGCATCTGAATCATCACTGCTGGCACAAACAACGACCCAATCCTCACGGTCGAGATTATCCGGTGTTTCCTGCCACAGAGTCCAGACGCATCATAGTTGGCCATCAGCAGTGTGGAATCCCTTGGATATAGGGAACATTATGGAACTATGGGACTTAGCATCATGAGAAGTCAGACACTTTGACCCCAAAATTATTGTAGTGCCCGCCAAAACATGATAAATCATTCATGTCACTTGTAAGACACATTGGCCCCACAGTCTAGAGTCTAAAGACTCATTTCGTAAGCTGCTGTTTTTCCAAATCGCTTGGATCCAATGCAAATCCTTAGCCGTTAGAGTCCTGAGCAGCACACGAAACGCCTGTGTTCTTCTTGGATTGACCATGGAGCCAATTCTCTTGAGAACCCTGCAGAATGCGGCCATAGGGTTCTCCAGTGTAACGCGTCACGGAGCAAATGGTGTAGGTCTCAGCTAGAACCTGCCAGCAAGGAATAGATCTTGAGAATTGCCTGTTTAAGCCTTCCAGCATCAAAAACCATAGCTTACACAAGCCGCATTGATCACAAATTGGACTCAGACCCAAGACAGCACCGCTGCACAATCTGCATATGTTCAGGGGATGGTTGGCGCCTCCCCGAAGTCGAATCTCGTTTTCTCATCGCCGCGGAGGAACTTCACGTTCTGCTTGGCACCGTGACCCACCTCCAAAGATGCTTCGGCCTGGCGGCCCGAGTCCGTGCTGAAGTGATACAAAATCCATGGCAATTGCCTACAATATTCTATATTCTATACAATCAACTCAATTTTCTAGTTTGCTTTCTGATCCGACTAGGCTCAAGAGGTCTCAAGAGGCAACTTATTTCGGTAGACCCATCTCCAACACCTTCGTTCGATGTTCAACCTCCCATTTGCCGCCCGCCTTGTTACCCACCACCTTGCCCTCGTGCGATCCAACCACACTGGGCCATGGCATTGCAGCTTCTTCAGCCTTAAACCATGCTACACAGCCATCTAAGGTGATGGGCGCTGGCTCGTTGTACTGGTGTTCATAATCCTCCGCATCGTAGGGATCCACCTGGCACGGGCCGGGGCACTGTGGCGAGAGGGGCCGTGAAAATTTTAGAAGATGTCGCTTCATTCTGCCCTTCCGACTGAACAATTTACTGTACATCAATTTACATAAATTTACAGCAAATATACCATACTTGGACCAGAATTGCAATACAATTGACCCACCACCGTCCAATGTTGGAAGCCTCAGCGTCCTTCAATCGTGCACTTGCGCCATCGCTCAGCTCAGCGGCTGCCGAGGCATCTGCCGATCGAACCAAGGCCACACAGCCCGTGCAGAAGAAAGGCAGCAACCACCACCTGGCCCAGTGGCCCAGTGCCATGTGGAGATCCCCCGTGGGACCCCAAAAGAATAGATCTACCGAATCAGGGGGACAACGGGGGGTAAACAGCGAAAATTCCACTGTGGGCCACTGATGCCACAAGTGTGGACATCTGTCAAACTGCTTTGCGACATGAAGAGATCTCCACGGAACTCAACCAATTTGTCGGGGTTTTCGAGCACTTGCACTCTGACTATGGAGAGCTTGGGCACCACTGGCATGCCATGCCTGACACAGGAAGGTCTCATCATCACCATCACGGTATTCCGATGCAAAGTACCTTAGACAGCAGAGAATAGTCACCAAACGATTTGGGATCACGTGTCCCAACAGACATCAGTTTGATCTGCAAGCACCACAGCTGCCTGTGGTATTCATCTTGCGGACCAGCAATGGTTGACCAGTCATAGTGTCGCAAAACCTATTGGAAGAAGCAGAAACAGGTCTGGACCGGTTCGGTAACATTTACCATCATTTACGCATAGATTGTCCGATGGACCATGGAGAGTTCAAAAAAACGGAAGACAGTCCATTGATCGGAACCAAGTAAGGAGAACTATCAAAAGGGATAAAACATCCTTCCCCTATGCTGCTCAGGTGCAAAGAAAATGTCACAAACAAAGGTGGCTGTAGCGCAGGTCACCTCGGTGTGTCAAGGGATCAAGATGGTCAAGGTAATCCATTCGTATTTTGTCCGCAATGCTTGTGGTTCATGGGCAACTCCCAAACACATTCACAAATGACATGGGTCATTAAATGTCCCCATTGAACATCACCCAACCATTAGGTATATGGTCTATAATGGCTACTATAAGGTGATGTCCAATATTCCCAAAATGGGACAGTTTCCAACCCCTGAATGATAAGGCAAATAAATCACAATGCTGTAAACTGCTGAAATGGGACAAGCTTTAGCAAGGGTTGACATGGATTGACCTATGAACTCCAAAGCCGTCTTGCAACATTCTGGAAGCGCGTCTTGTTTGATGCTTTTGCTTCTCTGCTCAGGACCGGGGAGGGTGCCGGAGTGGCCAAGTACGAAAGTTGAATGTGTTCCGAATCCCGACTAGAATCCTAGCCTAACACTCCTACAGTAACACCAACACCCAATGAAATGTTAACATGCCATGACAACATGCCGTGACCGTATGGGAAAGTTTTCTAGGAGTCTCTACTTCTGAGCCCCCTGGCGGTCATGGGGGCTCCGCAGGCCCGCGTCACACCCCACAAAGGTCTTGCGCGCCCCACGTGGCACACTTCTAAGCGCGCCACGATTGGCTTTGAGCCACCGACGGCAATTAAGCATGGATCAGCCCCTCCAAAGTGAAAAACATATGTAAAAAAAAAAAGAGCCGAGAAAACTCGAAGACCACATGGGCCCATGCATTGTTCCTTCCCAACCCCAAGGCAACCTCAAAAAGGCAACCAACAAAAACAACGTCAAAGTGAAGATCTGATCACCAAATTAACCACCTCATAACATCCCAGGTTTCAGCCGCTTCCAGCCTGTATGAGGCGGTCACGCTCTACCACAGAGGCCTCCACGAAACACCAGGTCTTCTCTCTGCCATCGACCTGGCACCTGCAGCTGAAGCGCCTACGTGCACATCACCCCAATGCAGCATAAATTGGCACCTGACTGCAGTGCAGTGGTGAGATTCCCATGCCTAGGAGGCGGCAAAAAGGATAATCTTGAAATCTGCTGATTGAAATTCCAGAAGTCCAAGCTATCTGTGCCATGGATAATTCTTGACTGGGGTCGAACCATTGGAAATTTGACATGACATACAGGCATACAGTATATTGTCGCCAGCAACATGAATCTTGCATACATGTATAGACTGATGAACAACTATGAACAACTATCATATGTGGCCAAGAACATCTTAAACTCAGCATCAACCTAGCAATTTCATTTTGTAGCTCGAAATATTCTCGCAATCCAACATCCAACACCAAGAAAAATGCCCATGTGCCAAGTTGACTTGGTGCATCCAGACCCAGCCATCACCAAAATCCCTGGGTCCACCGGGCTCCAACTCGGATTGAATCCGCGTTGGTGGCTGATGACCTCATCCTGCGATTTTTCTTGGGTGGCAACTCATTCCCAACTCACTGGGGTCGCAAGTGGATTATGCCCTTGCCAGCAATAAAAAAAACTGCACAGATAGTTTGGAACCAACTCCTTAACCTTTTTAGAGATGTGATGCTCTTCAGAAACGTCTCCTGCACAAAAGCAGCCCAGTTGACTCAACGGTGCCAGGGCTTCTGGTGCTCCCCCGCATCCGACCCCTTTCACGATCTACAGCAACCCGCCCGCCCCCAAACTCGCAGCAGTGTCGCCCGTTTTGCGCGCTATCTACGGTGCTAACACGGACCTCTGCATCTGCATCAGCTTCAAACGCCCTAGCACTACATCCACAAACGATGCCAGAAAGCCACAGCCCCCAAGCCAGTGTTCAAAGCCTGGCCCTCAACCACGATTTGAAGCAATTCCAGGGGTGAGCATCCTTTCTCGCGAGGAACTGCAAAAGTCTCTTCCAGTAGAGGAAGATCTGATTCTGGTGTTGCCTGCAAATGTCCAAAAATCAGTTCAAACCATTTATCTCACAGGGGTCACGCTAAGAATCCAGATATACAAATATTAGCTGAAGATAAAAGTAAATAATATATACTATTGGGACTGTAGATAATATATACCCAAAAGAAAGTTTCAACCTTCTCAAATCGTAGCTACTGGTCTTCCACATTCACATGAAGACCACGTCTTTCTGCGCCGCATGCCCACTGGACGAGAGCATAAACATGCGGGAGTCATGGGATGGCACACCCTTGGCCACAAAAGTTCCATCATGCTCACCGAGATCAGAATGAACCTTGGCTGCTCTGTTGGATGCTAAGCCCACGATTTCGTGGCAAAGCTGTTTTGTGTTTTTTTTTTCCAGGAAGAGTATGAGAAAAGTGGCAAAAATGTCGCAAGGCATCTGCCTGCCCTCCTGATGTTTGAACCTTTACCACATTTTGCTGAAATCTGAAATGGAGCTGATGGTGTGGCACACCTCCTCCTGACCCACACAACACCTGGATAACCTCAACGCCGCTTCCACCCTGTGCGCCAAGCCACATACAAGCACCGCACCTTGCACTTCTGGCAGGAGAGGCCCGGGACATCGGAAAAGGTCAAAGTCAAATCTTGTGCCTGAGGTTCGGGGCAGAGTGAGGCTGCTGGAACAAGCACTGGGTTGATTGAAGGGAGGCTTTAGAGGAAACCAGTATAGTTCTCAATGCAATAACATTAAGATATCAAATCAATTCAAATCATATCTACTCAATGTAGGGGGTCCTAGAAGTTTCCCCTGAAACTAACTCTTGGAGATACATCGTGACAAAGGAGCATCCTTGCCCCTTGGCACCTTGGAGTCATGATTCATCAACAAAACGACAATCTTTCCTCCGCCCATCGGTTTGTAGAAGAACTGCCAGCTTGGCACCTGAAAAATCCGGAAGGCGGATGAAGGCAGTCATCCTACTGGGTCCTCTGAAATGCAACAGTCTGATAAAGTCCATATCTTTTTCTCAACATCCTGTAAATCTCAAGCATTCAATTCCTTTTCCCTTGGCCGATACCTGTAGGTTGACTTGCCAAACCAACCTCCTTCACGTGAACATGTTCAAAATGCTGGCTCCACACCACCCCATTTGCCCACGACTGAACCTGGCTGTTGTGAGGGATGATCGCCCCCTTCATCTCCATGTTAAAGTCAGTGAGCTGGACATAAGAATCCGCTTGCTTGAAAGGACTCCCACTATGACCTGCCCATGCCTGGTTCACTGCAATGATTTCCTGAGCTGTGAGCTGTCCAATCAACCCAGGGAGATGTTCTGTGTGTTCCATTTCAAAATCCTGAAATCATTCAGCACCATTGAGCACATGATAGCAGCTGAAAGCGGGCCAGGGTGGCTCGGAGAGCCCCGGCCCGCCCCGGCCCACCTTGTTGGAGATGATCTCCCACACCGCGTCCATCACGGTGTCGTTGTTCACATCCAGCGACAAGGTCAGTGGCGAGGAGACGATGGCCCAGGCGCTGAAGTGGGAACGCGCTTCGAAGAAGGTCAAACCTGGTGGCTAAGCCAAAGCTGGTGAAAGAAAGATCGGGAATGGGTGAAAATAGATGAAAATCAGATGAAAATGACATAAAATGACCATTTTACAAACTTCTATCAACTTCTATCTAAATTTGGGGGGTTACGATGAAAAGCACCCAAGGGACTGGTATGGTATAAACGTATAAATCAATGGTTTCAAAAAAGTTGGCTGGTATAAACCCACTTGATGACCACGCCCATGGATTGTTGGATTGGTTGGTTCTGACCAAACCTGGTGGGTACAAGTGGCCACACCGATGGATCACCCAATAAAATCAGGCACTCCGTATTGGCCGATGCATTAAGCAACGGATGTATGGCACCGTAATGGGGACACCACTTGGGTCACCAGAAATTTTCGCGGCACCATGGATGGCATCATCGTTGGTCCATCATTCTCAGCATTCACATCATTCACCAGGAATTTTTACATCACTTGTACATGATTCATATCACCAGTACCACATAGTACCACTAGATCTCAACATGATTCCTGGATGTTGGATATTGTTCGTGCCTGGATCGCCGGCGCCACCAGGGCCATGTTGGCAACCCACCTGCGGAGACACACAAAAATCTTCCTGGATTTTTCAGGCATGATGTTTTGTCAACATACACAGAGATTGGGGGGTCTGAAAAAATTGAAAAATCGGTTGACACTTCATAGAGATTCATGTTCATGGGGAACAACAAACTTCAGACTTTTCCACCCAGCACATATGCCACATCGCTCCGCCAGTGCACCTCCAACATGTCTGGATAGGCCCAACAGCCAGGCTTCGACAAGTTCTTCTGTGCCCATTCGACGGTGGTCAACAGGTTGCCCACAATGCTACCATAGGAGGCCCGCACGTCTCCAGAGGTCCTGATCATCACTGATTGCAAACGGCAGAAACGCATCTCTCCATATCTCTCCATATCTCTCTACAGTTAAGTGGATTTTTTCAGGTCGGATGGAGTCGGATCAAAAACAGACTTTCCGATCTTTGAGACCCCTTGACTTAGAGAAGAACCCGCGATTTCTTGTCGCCCATTCTTGATGCCCATCACCCGCACTTGGCCTGAAGAAATTCCAGGGGCACCAAGTGGCATTGGGCACAGTGCCGCCCCA